ATCCCCAGGTGAGACTGGACAACTTCCCGAGCAACACAAGTTATTCTGGAGAAGAACACGAAATTCTGGCATGTCAAAATTCTGAACATGTGATGAGTTTAGGAACACAACCAGTTTAGTTACAGGGGAGATTTTTCCCAGTCCTAATCAACCCTGCTATTCTGTCACTTTGTGGTGCATTCATGGTTGAACCATCACCAGCCTCTCTCAGATTGATCATTTTGAGATAAATACATCAAGATAAAACGACCAGCCAACCTGAGATGCAATGGTGTCAATAGCCACCTTGGAGCAGATACATCCATGCAAGGACAGAATCCTTTCAGTGGAAACAAGTCTTGAAGCACAAATAAAAGACCATTTAGCACTAGAGTTTATATAAGAAAATAATCCTTATAGATGAACTAGCAACAGTAGTAGAGGGCAAGGTAGATGTTTTCAAGTGTGTGGATGAGCTCTGGCCCTCTTTGCTCTTAAGCTAATTGGAAATTAATCACAGTTCATTCACTGGCACCTCCAGAAATGCTTGGGAAGGGCTTGAGACAAACCTTTCTGGAGTGTCTTGCTTAGCACTTCTGAAGGTGGAATTAATTGATTTCCAGTTAAATATGACTAACTAAAACCTATACAATTGCTAATTGTTGCACTCCACGTGTGCTCCCTCCAAGACGTCCCAAGACATTTTTAGAGATATAAATTAGCAACAGTTAATCAAAACACAAGGTTTAAATTTTCACTTTCCCTGTCAACCAGAAGTTCCACCAACCTGGTCACTTGATGGTAACACATCAATCTTTGCTTAACCAGGATGTTGCATGATCTTCACCGACGTGTTGATTAATCACAAAGGGATAGTTTTATTTGTTGTCTTTTTTCCATTACACCTGGACATTCAGAACCAATAGCACTGTCCAGAGCTTTGACAGCACGTCCAGAAATCCATAGGCAAGTTCACTTAAGAGAGTCAGTAACTCTTTAGATTATTCAAGCAGTTTAAGGTTAATGAACAGGAGAGAGATACTTCATCTTACGGCTGACATATTTTCCTAAAAATTGACATTTCTGCACTGCATTGACAATGCTGCACATAGGTCTCTTGTGTGAGTGACTTTATAGAGATAGGCACAACCAGCTGGGACTGAATGTGGACAATGAGGATGGAACAGCTGCAATGAGACAGAAAAGTGTTTAGCACCTTGTCCAAAACAATACCATAATTTACAGAAGAATATCTATTATTTAAAGTTGGTAACAAATCCAGTGTCTGTTAGGCACTATAAGAATTTAAGGACATATGGAGTCACCAGGAGTATTTTGGTCAAAATCTTGCAAAATATAATGCATTTTTATATCTACTAAAAGAGGTGTGTTGTACAGGAGCTGGCTTTCTTATCAGCTGAAACCCTAAATTCTATACAGAAGGGGCAGACAATAAATGTCCAGGTTGACCAAGACAGAAACACCAGAGAAATAACAGATTGCTCTACTTTGAGTCACGTCTTTTTCTTCCCTTTTCTGTTTTTAAATGTTTCCTTTATACAAAATGCCATGGTTCAGCACCCTTGAAAATTAAAGACTACCGAAGATCAAGGTTTGAGTCCTTCCATTCATGAAAGGAAATTAAAATCATCACTAAAAGTCCCACTTTTTATTACTCTGATATAAACCACTCAGAAAATACCAGAAGGAAGAACTATACTCAGTATTTAATACACTGTTCTGACTTATTGTATTTTGTTAGTGAATTTATTAAAAGATGTATATATGCAGAGTTAGACATCAGTGGCCAGATTCTGATCTTACTCACTCTGTCCCAACCCCCTCTGTCCTGGATTGCAAGTAAGTCAAGGTAAATACCTAAGTACAAACAGTAATGGAATATAAAAGGAATTAGTAAGACTGAAATTATTCTGAGGCCAGTTAAATCCCATGGGACACTGGTCTTTTCCAATGTTACTGATTCTATGATTCAATGTTTAATCTGAACTCAATATTAAAAATGTGTAGACCAAATACACTGAAAGATGTTTTCCTTTTTCAGCCTGAACAATTCTAACAGTCACTGCAGGGTGTTGCCAGTGGACTACACTTGTCATGACTACAAGAAGTAGCTTCCCACTTAAACTTTCTAAAACTTCATTCATGTTGTTCTTCTGCAACCTACTTCACATTGATTTAATCAAGCTCCCTTAAACACACATAAACTGAGTTTGCCAATCTTAAAATATTTTATAATAGCACATTTAATAAAGCTAATTTAAACCTGCTAATTTTATAGAGACTTGCCAGAGGCTTTGAAACTTCACAAAATGTGTAAACTTAACAGTTTGGCTGTGATAACAGCTGAGACAGTGGAAATTAAGCCCTCTGGATTACAATCATGTTCAAAGTGGATTCCTACTTTTATTGCAAAAAAAAAAGTATGCTGCAAAAATATAACAGAAAACCAATTTATAAAAGATATTTCAGGTCAAGACATACATTCACCCAAGTTTGGCTTTTCAGATCCAAGTGGCCCAGTTCTTGAATTTGGTCACTACTGAGCCTCAACAGCACAGCCCCAAATATACACTGAGGTCTCTCATTTTAAAGACTACCTGGAATCTTTTCTACAACCAAATTTTGTATAAGTAAAAGCAGGGTTTCTGGTTCAACAGACCTCTGTAAGAGCTTTGAGACAGCGTGCTTAGGGCCATTAATTCTGGGTTCCTAATTCTAGTTGTCAGTCTTCCAGCTGATGCTATATAGGTTTGCTACTGTCTGCTCTAATTTCTACCTTTGAAAACCAAATGATAATGGATTATATGCCAAGTGTGGGAATAGGCACATTGAGTAGGATCCAGGCTGTATCCCAGGTGATAGCAAGAAGAAGCAGTGCAAAAAAAAATATTCAGCTCTTCAGTGAAGCATCAAGGAGTTTCACCTCTACTAGAGGAATTCTTCACTTTATACATAGCATTTAAATGATAACTAAGTGATCATTATCATCATCTGATTTGCAGAAAATGGCAGCTTTCCTTGAAGATATAACTGAAATTTTTAGGGCTACTGTTGCAGATCTCTCCTCAAATTTTTATATGGGAGAAGGCATTAAGACTTCACCCACGAAGACTTGTAGGGTTGCAGGTTTTTAAGGGACACAACCTCATTGCTTTGAAGCTTTTTTCAATATCTGTAAAGTTCAAGTCATCTTTTAATTTCTTTTTCCCTGCTAATTGCCTCAAAATATTCATCAAGGCAATCTGGAATATATTCTTGGACAAGGTTTTTTTTTTTTAGTCTCTCCTGCTTCAGTGCTCTTTCTCTCGGTTCTGTCATTGCTTTCCTTCCTGCTTTTGTGCACTCAGAAACAGAATTAAGGTGTACTGCAACCAGTGGACACTTGCATAAACAGCCTGCTTTGAATAAAACAGCACGATTTTGAGAGAGGAAAATCACATTCAGCTTTCCTGCCCAAATGCTAAAACATAGATGAGGTTCGTATACTATCAAAGCATAACATTTTTGCTTTGAGACCACTGAAATGCTGTGAAGAGAAGAAAAAATGTAAATAAACTGAACAGGGAGCATAAAAGCACGTTGGTTCCCAGGTTCTGAAACCGCAGTTAAAGTGGTTTATATTTGTAATTTATTTAAGACTGGTTTTGGCAAATACATTAGTAATGCATCTCCTTCACAGATTTTTATGCACGAAAGCTTTAAGTTTGCCAGGACCTCTGTAAAGCAACTTTTACTGCATCAAATTACTGCATTCCTTGATCTCTCCCAGCACACACTCCCAGCAGCCAGCCACACTCAAACACAACGATCAGCTCTCTCACAGATACTCCAATAACAGGTCTTTTTAAAAAAAATTAACACAGTTGTGAAAAAGAAAGCAAATACAACGCTTTTGCCCTGCCCCTCCAGCATTTTGCACCCGATGTCGACTTAAAATCAGCACTTTCTTCTGCCATACTTGTATTTCCATGTGAAACTTCTTCACTGAGAATTGATGCAGAATTGGGAGCTGTCAGCTCTGATCGCATTCACCAGCACACAGGCTTGAGACTCTACTTCATAATAGGAAAAGATGGCCAGCGTTTTCCTGACAGAAGTACCACACATTTTTCAGTCAGTAAAAATTACAGAGCTCATTGTCGACGCATTTCCCATGCAGAATGAGGACTGCAAATTATCAGGCAAAGGTTTTTTTGGGGTTTTTTTCCCCCCTTTGGTACACGGCACAAAACCCAGCACAATCTGCAAAACTTATTAACTACTGGGGTTTGAAACCCCTTCTTTGCATGCTGTCGACACGGTCACAGCAACCTATACATTGATCTTATTCCAAAAGCACAGTGATCTTTATGCTGGAAGAATTTTAGTTCTGTGTGCCGTAGCATACACTGCAAAGGAAAAGAAAAAGCCTTTAGGAAAGGCATGTGCTGAACACACAAAATATGCAGGATGGAAAAAGACCAAATGTAATTAAAGCTTATACGAAACGAGACATTCCTATTTGCAGAGCTCTGGCTGCATTTCTATGAGAAAGAATGCACAGAATTTCAAATCATGCTCTATTTAGACAATGTCAGAAGAAAAACACATTTCCCCCCCCACACCCTCCACACCCCTCAATCCCCCACCCCAAGACTCCAAAAGGCAAATCTCATCATCGGAACTAAGAGAGAAAAAGCAATCCAAAGAGACCGGTTTACATATTCCTTCCCAAACCAAGAAATCAAGTCTCTCCCTCTCCCGGCTAATAGCTTATAAATTCAGACTTTAAACAAAAGCACCACCAAAAAAAAATATATAAAAAAGAAGAATCATCCTAATTCTCAAGCTTCCTACTTAGCACTGCCTCGCTTTTGATGATTTGTGCGGCTGTGTGTGCGTGCCTGTTTGAGAAATGGCGAGATAGGCTTAAAGTATTTTCCATTTCATCAAAGAGCATATATTACTTTCCTGGTTCGCTCCCGATGTTGGTTTTATGCCCACCCCTTTTCAATCTGCCCATGTCTGAGATGCACAGTGCAGGCGTACAATCATGAGCAGCTTACGACACTCAGTGAACACTGGGTGCCTCTGCATGCTCTAGCAACATACTGCTCAGCTGAAGGGAAGGGATTCTTGCTGTCTCTCTCTGCTCTAAGCATCACCTAACAAGCAAAGCGAACAAAGAATGGGAAATAAAGCGACCCTTAACCGGTCAGTGAATGAATGGTAACCTCTCTCTGGAGTAAAGGTTGTGCCGGTCAATGGTCGTTGCAAATGACGGACATTAAACAGATTGACAAATCCTGTGGAGTCGTTAGTAAAGAGTTTGGAGTTTTTTTCACGCCACAGTGTTAACTGCAGAGGAAAGGACAGAGGGAGAAGGAGAAGATCAAGCTCATGTACATAGTTCTGAAACTTGCAGGTCCTAGGAGGCAGCTCAAAAGCTAGCTGGACAAGCCTTTCGCTCGTTGAGCAGAAGCGAAGTGAGACATTGTGAGCTTGCCAGCCTTGCACAACATTGAAAGGGACTGAATTTGTAGCACAGAGGGGTCTTTTTTAGCTCTGCATATAATTAGTCCAAACACAAAGGAAGCAACTGAATGGAGGTTGTCACTCTCTGGAAAAGGGTGGGTAAGACACTTTTTAATTAAATTCTTTCATGAAGAAAGATTTTTTTTTTTCCTTTGCTGCAGCATTTAACATGAACAAAATCACTATCATTTTACCTTTGAATGTCTGTGAACTTTAATGCTGCACAGCTCCTGCATGCTGTAAAGTGAAATATTTGCCTCTGTGTTTGTTCTGTTTGCTGTTTTGCTTTGGTTTTCGGGCTTTGTTTCGTTGGTTTGCTTTTTTTTTTTCCCCCCTTAAATAAAATATGATGTAGAATTTGAAAAGATTCAATGGACATTCTCAAGCATATTTGGAAATATTCTTGCTAATGGATTTCCTTCTTATTGGTCTCTGTTTAAACTGGCTGCTGAGGAAGCCCCCGGGGTTGATATTGTGTACGCTGGGTATCTTTTCTAAAATGCTTCCAGCTGTGAATAGTGGGTGTCCACAGCTCTGTCGGTGTGAGGGCAGGCTTTTGTACTGTGAATCACTGAATCTTACAGAGATGCCTCGCAACCTGTCGGGCATGATGGGCTTGTCTCTGCGGTACAACAGCCTTTCAGAGCTGCATGATGGACAGTTCACAGGGTTAATGCAGCTCACGTGGCTCTATCTGGATCACAATCACATTTGCTCAGTGGAGGGGAATGCCTTTCAAAAATTGCGGCGAGTTAAAGAGCTCACCCTGAGTTCCAACAAAATAACCCAACTGCCCAACACCACTTTCCGCCCCATGCCAAACTTGCGCAGTGTGGATTTATCTTACAACAACCTACAGTCTTTGGAGCCCGACCTGTTCCACGGGCTGAGGAAACTGACAACTTTGCACATGCGGTCGAACGCCATCAAGTTCGTGCCGGTGAGAATTTTTCAGGACTGTCGCAGCCTGAAGTTTCTGGACATAGGATACAATCAGTTAAAGAGCCTGGCTCGAAACTCTTTTGCGGGCTTGTTCAAACTCACTGAGCTGCACCTCGAGCACAATGACTTGGTGAAAGTGAATTTAGCCCATTTTCCCAGGCTCATCTCCCTGCACTCTCTCTGCTTGAGAAGGAATAAAGTTACCATCGTAGTAAACACCTTGGACTGGATATGGCAACTGGAAAAGATGGATCTCTCTGGCAACGAAATCGAATACATCGAACCTCACGTTTTCGAAAGTGTACCTCATCTCAAATCCCTGCAGCTGGACTCCAACCGGCTGACCTACATCGACTCCCGGGTCCTGGACTCCTGGAAGTCCCTCACTAGCATCAGCCTCTCCGCCAACGCCTGGGATTGCAGCCGGAACGTCTGCGCCCTGGCCTCCTGGCTGAGCAACTTCCAGGGTCGCTACGACAGCAACCTGCTCTGTGCCACCCCCGAGTACGCGCAGGGCGAGGATGTTTTGGACGCCGTGTACGCCTTCCACCTGTGCGAAGACGCAGACCCCACGAGCGTCAACACCTTCTCCCCGGTGACCAACAACAGCGACCAGACGCTCGGCTACGGCTCCGCCACCGCCACCTACGACGTGCCGGACAGCGGCGAGGACCGGACCACGTACGCCGTCACCATCACCATGCCCGGCGAGAACTCCGAGAACGCCGTGCAGATTCACAAGGTGGTGACGGGCACCATGGCACTGATTTTTTCCTTCCTCATCGTGGTTTTGGTGTTGTACGTCTCCTGGAAGTGCTTTCCAGCCGGCTTAAGGCAACTAAGACAGTGCTTTGTCACACAGCGCAGGAAGCAGAAGCAGAAACAGACCATGCACCAAATGGCTGCCATGTCAGCCCAGGAGTATTATGTTGATTACAAACCCAACCACATTGAGGGAGCCCTGGTGATCATTAATGAGTATGGATCTTGTTCCTGTCACCAGCAGCCAGCGAGGGAATGTGAGGTGTGATTTTCCTTGTGGGATTTAAACAGTGTGCAACCAAATAACAGCGTGCAGGCAGACAGTGGCACGGGGTGGGGGGGGTTGCTGGGCTTTGCTGGTGGTTTCTGACGTGCACCTCTGCCCAAATTGTTAAGAGGGGCTGTCCCAGAGACTTGATATTTTAGCTTTATCGTGTCTTAAAAACCTTCAGGACAGCCAATCTTAAGGTTTCATATGCTAATACTCCCTTTGAAGATCTGTCAATATTCAGGAACCTGAGAGTGTAAAAAGGTACCAATTATTGATCTTTTGTAAACTAAAAAAAAAAAACTGTTTAAAATAAAAAAAAATAGCATTTACAGTTTTTACAGACTGGTGTATATTACATGAATGGTTCCCTGTATACAAAATGCAACAGTTTAACCTCTTTTTCTCTTCATGCTGAGTGTTGAAATGAAAGTCGAGGAGCAAAGAAGCCACGTAAAAGAGAAAGCTTAAAATTACCCATTGTAATTAGCACACATTCACGTCCATCATGTTGCTGAAGATATGAAGCATGACACTGGAATTCTATTTTTGTTAATGTGCTACCTGTAACTGGATGCCAGTACAACAAGGAGCCAGTGCACCTCAGAAAGGCTAAAGTTTTGACCCTGTCCCTGGGACAGGAATTCTGAGGGTTTTTAAGTACAGCTCACTTGTTAGTTGCTGCAAGATCCATAAAAACAGCATCAGAACCCTTAGAAGTATTTTGTATCAAAACTGATCATACTGCAAAGACTCCCTAAAAAAAAAACAACCAACAAAACCCAAATGAGTGAAACACTGCCAAAATGTGCTCATCAGAAATATAAAAAAGACCAAAAACCCCACTAAATTTAAGGGCTTTTAATAGCTTTTCCCACTTTTATGCTTGTTTTGAGCTATGCCAAGAGCAGGGAACTTGTTCTGTGCCCTGTGGTGCCATGGTGAGTGGAGAAGAGCAAAAGCTATTTGGGTCTCAGTGATGAAACCTGTGTGTCTGAAGAGCAAAACCACCGTCAGGAGAAGATAGAGAGGTATTAGATCCTACTTCTGGGTCCTGTAGTAAACTGCTGGCAAAGCCCAGCTCATGTCCCTCCCTTCCACCAGCAACCTTCACTAACAAAACAACCCTAAAAATCTCTGCAGAGGCTGAAAGCAGATGAACCCTCCTTACTAATGAGTGATAAATGGAATTGATGGATATAAAGCAGTGATTTCACCATGTAGAATCACGCAGCTGTTTTATCTGACTGCCCTTAAATAAAGGCTTCCTTTCTTTGTATTTTGGATTTTTCATTCCAGTATGTGAACAACTTGATCCTTTCACCAACTCCCCTCATACTAATTGACGGTGAGGGAGTTTTGTAACACCAGGCAGAGCATCTTGAAATTTTCTTCCTACGGCACTACATGGGAATAAAATGTTATGGATAATGAACTGGGTGACATTTCTATGCTCTGTACGTGTTTCTCTATCCTCAGGTTACCACCAATAGAGGAACAATTGTAAAATCTTACATGTATTTTAATGTAACACAGGGTTTTTTTTCCCTTTTTTATAGCATCGAAGTGCCACCTACTCTTACAAGGCTACAGCAGGCTCATAAAGCAGAAAATAGGCATGGAATAAATCACTTGTTTTCCTGCACAGCAGGTTTTAGCCATTAATTTTGTGTCTAAAGAGTGACTTCTATATTTTTTTCTGACTGATACTATTTTAAGGAGTCAGAATTTATTTTCATCTATTTGATACATCTCATCTTCTGTAATATTAAATATGGCAAGAGCCTTTTAATCAAAATTTTTATTCAGTGAGACTATAATATCATCAGTGAAAGCAATGAGATTATGTACTGGGAGAGGACTGTTTCATAGAGAATTTAATGAAAATCAGCCGCTTTTTCACTAAAGCCACTGAAAATTCCCCCACAGTTTCAAACAAGCCAGCACTGTTAAAACCAGGCTTTTCTCTCTTTAAACAAATGCACATTTCTCTTCCTGTGCCTCAAACCCAGCAGGGCCTGATCCATCCTGAAACTCCCAAGTGACCTGAGGGGTTGAGTGTCCATGTACAAACCTAACAGGGAGGACAGAGAGAAAGCACAGACCCCCTTGTCTTTTGGGTTGCCTGATCATGTTTAAGGCAAAAAATATTTGCCTAAATACATGCTAACTCAGGGCCAAGCTATATTTATTTTCCCCATTAAACCCTTCTCTGAAATCAGTAGGGAATTTAACTGTGAAAAATTGGCTCTCCAACTTTGGACTAGGCTATATGTTCCTCAAATCCACAAGGCAGCACTGCAGCCAGCAGGGTTGATTACAACTAGTTGCCAGGATGCTTCCAAAAAATCAACTAAGATCGTTAAAATATTGTCTGCATATGGCAATATATATATATATATATATATATATATAAAAACTGGCTTTATTTCTATAATGACCCCCTGCTGCTATAAAGAAATGTATTAGTGCAGTCATGGCTTTGCCCCTGTAAATCTAAGACAAGACTGATACCAACAAACAATCATCCCGTGGTTGTATTTCAGTGTATTTTTAGCATATTTGTGGGTTGTATTTGAAACACACGAGTGATTGCACCCCTCTGGAGTTGTTCCTGCTGCTTATTGGTGTTAACAACCTCCAGCCACGTTTGCAAAGACGTGAGCAATCCTGCCTTTGGAATTTATTCACCTCTGTGCTTCATGCATCTTGCACTGACAGCTCAAGTAAACTGAGCAGAGCGTTTTCCTTTAAAGGTGCAGTGATTTCCTAAGTGGGAGCTGATTTCGGTGTTGCCTGTTGCCATTTCTCCTGAAGAGAGGTGATGACCAGCAATGACTTGCCACCCTGAGCAGGATGATGGATGGATCCTCCACGTGGAGCACAGCCCTTATTAAAGGATGTGTTTCAAAATCTTCATGCAGAAATCTTTACTGAGGGTAATCTCTTCTAGAGACAACCTCCTAGTGGTCCCCAGAGGACATCTGGAGATCCTGACACTCTCTGAATATTCACTGGTGAAAAGAGGGGTATCACTGCTGTTACCTGGCAGTACCACAGGGTGCCCACATCTAGTCGAAAAGTTTACATGAAACATATGTGGGTAATAAAGAAATAAAAGAGCCAATATGTCATTTCAATCTAGCTATTGCAAATCCAGTTATTCATCCTGCTCCAGGCTATTTCCATTGGTATATATGGGAGTTATTATATTTGTACTGCATTTATGGCAACTGCAGGGACAAATTTTCCCTAACTCTTTCTTCCAAATTTTGTGTTCAACAGCTGTCCAGAGATAAGTTATTCCCTCTCTTTGATGCCCTTATTCTGGCAATATTAAATGGCTCCAAACTCAAAAGGAATAAAAAAAAAAAAAAGATGCTTTTGGGGTTAGTTGTGACAGTTTTGTCCAAGAGATGCTTGGGGAATATCAAAGGAAGGAAAATATTTTCAATATTCCCTTTCTAATGCTCCACTTAATAGGACTAATCTCCCTTTTATAACGAGGTAATTAGCATTATTTTCTTTATATTTAACTGTCTTTTTAAACACAAGACAGGGTGAAAGGCAAACAAAAGAACTACCTTTTTTGAGGCTGGTTAACAGTACCAGTGTTATAGATCTCTAACATGCAATCTCTTGCTGCTCACATCAATACCCACTCACAGTGCACCCAGTGCTGAAGGAACTGTTGCTGTGTATGCTCTGAATGTATATAAGGGATGATTTATTTTCCTTTCTGTCTTTTTCTTTCCTTCCTTTCTGTACTACTTAAAAAAAAAATAATTATATGAAACCACAGAGTCAATGCTAATGTACCACATTCTGTTTCTGCCCTGAAAATATAAAATACAAAGATATTCTGTGTTAAAGCTGCAAATTCCCTCCTTTGCCATGCTGTCTGGGTACTGCAAGGGGTCAGACCAAGGGATGCCCCCTCCCTCTGTGGTCACAGCAAGAGCTGAAGATGCAGCCCCTAGTTCAGAGCTGCCTTGCAAACCTGTGCCAGAGAAAGACCATTAACCATACCTAAGGATATTTTTGTATGCTTTAATATATTCTGTATATGTTTTTATGGCTAAGGCATCGAGGGGTAGTTGAAATGAGTCTGTTTGATCATTTTCTTCGGTTCTGATAAAAAAAAAAAACAAACAACAACTCATTTGCTATTCAGATGGACTAAATTTGTTTCTTGTGTGTGTCTCATTCTGCATTAAAAGCAAAAGGACTCCCTGAATCCCTCTCCCTTCCCTCCCAGCTTCTCCAATGGTATTCAGAGTGGCAACTAAGGATATTTAATGAGGAAGCTTATTTCTAATGCTATAACAGTAATAGCAGTAATAATAATGAAATTAAAAGGAGACAAAAGATAAAAGACTGGAGTAACAACAACTAAATCAGGATGTTACTGGATTCCTTTGCCTTTTTTTAAAGATGGTTAATCTAAAGAACTAGCACAGATGAAAAACCAAGACTGAGGGTGGGTGGAGAAAGCAGTTTTTAAAACTGTGCAAGCAGGGATGAAACAGCTTCTGCAAAGGAGGGTACAACACTAAATAGCTTCATTCAGCAGGAGAGAGAATAGGGAAGGGTGAAGGGATGGGATGAAAGGGAAGATGAGAACTGGTGAGGAGGCAAGGGGACCACTGTGCACACATGGGAAATGAGACTTTTCAGTGCCTTCCCCTCCCACGTTAGGACTGTGGCAAGGACAACAGCAGAGATGTAAGAAGGATACCCGGCATCTCCTCTCTCCCTTTCCAAAGTCCCAGTCACACACACTCTCTCATCACAGAGGCACAGACAGACATGCTTCCCCAAACACACGTGCCCAGAGCCCATCATTTCCTCTGCCACCTCCCTGTTCCCTGGGAGCACAATGTCCCCCTCATCCATCACTGTGTTTGCTGAACTCCAGCACTGTGCCTCTGCCACTGATTTTTTTTTGGCTGGATTTCTTAGCTATCCTAGCCACAGTTCACCACAGGCTTTCTAAAAAAATCAGACTTTTCTACCCAAAATCTCTCTTTTTTTTTTTTTTGTTTGTTTGTTTTGTTTTTTAAGAAACCCTCATCTAGAGAGATGGGTGATCTCGAGCTATCACAGATTCTCCTGCTGATTATATCTACACTCATATTCAGCTTTCATGTTCACAGCTATTATGACAAACAGATCTGAGATATTTTTGCTGTGTTCAATTTCCCATTATGCACCAAGGTTATGCTTTTCCTTGACCTCCTCAACCCAGTCTAATATTAACAAATTGAGCATTTACACGGGTTCCTTTCCAAGCATGTAGTTGATTAGGAATTTAGGAAATGCTGGTGATTTAAAGATTAACCTTTCATATAATTACTGACATAAACTAGCGCTATTAAGGTATTAGAAACAACTATTCAGAGCATATTCTCCATTAAAAAAAAACAACAAATCACATTTCGAGCCATGCGAAAGACTTTCCATATCAGCCAATTTTTACTTTTTTTTTTTTTTAACAGCAGAAAAACCTGGTGAAAGGAAAGGAGTAAGCACAGCCTACCTCTAAAGTTATGTAGAGGAAAGCAAAGCTATAAAAATAATACAGAAACCAAGCAACAGTCTTCTGCTGGCAAGACACAGCTTGTAATTGGGTGGGTGGCTGTGAAGAGCCGAGATGAATGCTGCAGAGCACTGTAATTTTATTGCACTGTGTCTGCTCTAAAGTGAACATATTTGCAATGGAATCTGTATTTCCCTGAGAACAGGGCAATTGTTTTTTGTTATAAAGAT